TGCCCTTGCGGGCTTGCCCTACCAGCAAGGAAGCGCTGCCATGCCTAGCGTGCGCTTCGTGTCCGTGCTGTGCTGTGCTGTGCATGCCGATAGCGTAGAGTGCGTGCTGCTAGCGTGTTCCGCTTCCTACCCGGTCCAGCGGTTGCATGTTCAGTCTCACAAGGGCACGGTCCCTCGCTGGTTTGTAAAACGAAATCGCAAAACCTCTTTGAGAGCCCATCCGGCCCCGGGCGCGGGCTCACACCACAACGCACGCTTTCGCTTCGAGCTCTCCTAGGAACGGTAATCCACACTGGTCATAAAGGAATATTCACGGCCACGTGTGCCGCACGCGCTAGCTTCTGAACTGAACTCGTGGATGTGAAAGTCGGCCCCTTCTGGAGCAGAGCCGCACTGTGCCCCAAATCTCCTGTTGTGTGGCCCCCCCTTTGCCGGAAGCCGGCCTTTGGCAAGCGGGCTGTTCTGGGGAGCTGCGGTGGCCCCCAGCTGGCACGAGGGCCGCTGGATGTCCCCTGCCTGCCAGTGAGCCGTTGCTCCTGGGGACCCCACGACAGTGGCATGCAGACTGAGGGGGGATGCGTGGTGCCCATCAGGCCCCTCCGGGATGGCTGACCCTCGCTGTGCAGGTGCGCAGTGCACGAGACGCTATCCATGAGGAATCCCGGCGCACGCTGTTCTCCGGGGTGCAGCAGGGAGGGTGGGGGGAGCTGCGCTTCGCACACGCCGCGGCTTCTGGCGCGTTTTCCAGAGCCAAGAGCATTTTTCTGACCCAATCGATGCATGTTGAAATGTTCCGTGGACACTGGCTGGTCCCCTGCCTGGAGAACTGTCGCCTTGTGCCCAGAGCGTGTTGGTTCCACACAGTGACACGAGACGCTAACGGGCCGGGACGGCAACTGTTGCGTTTCTCCATCAGCGTCTCCCTCCGCTTCGGGACCGTTCCCTTTCCTGGCAGGCGCTGGGGCTTCTCTGTAGCCGGTCTCAAAGCTCAGATCCTGTGCCGGCGCCATGCTGTGCTGCTTTGCCCGCGTCCTCCTTTCCCCCTTGTACCTGCGGGCGCAGGTTTCTGAGGCGGCTCGGCAGAGGGGCAGAGCTGAGCTGGCCACAGGGGCCGTCCCGCTTGCCTCTCAAGCCCCTCAGAAAGCTGGCTCAAAGCATAGCCCTGAAACGGGGCCCTGGTTCTGCTGGCTGCTGTCGTCAGAGCCTCCGCTGGGTGCCAGTCCAGTGACGTGCGAGTGCGCGTTCCTACACACCACTCAGTTTGGCAAACGGCACATGCCTCGTTCACACGGAGGCCCAGCCAGCGCTCCGGTACGGCCCCTGATTTGCATGCCCGTGTACGTCCGTGACACACGGCTCTAGGCTGGCAGGAGAGGCGTCTGCTGACGCGCAGATACATGCATGTGAGCTGCACGCACGGGTACACGCCCTCTTCCGTCCCTGTCCCAGAGGCATCGTTCTCACAGGGAGGGCGCTGCATCCTGGCTAGCGTTGCCCAGAGAGCGGAGGCGCTGAAGCAGCTGGTGCAGAGTAGCTGCAATTGCTGTATAGAAGCCGATGGGCACAAAGGAGCCCCCGTGCTGAGTCGTCTCGGCCCTCTGCCGTTGGCAGGACGCCGTGGAGCTCGGAACCGGCCCTTGCACTGTCAGTACTAAAAGGAAAGGGTAGGGAGAGCCCCGTGCGAGCACTAACTCAGCCGAGACACGGCAGCTGGCAAATGATACCAGCATAGACTGGTCCTGGTGACGGATCAGTTCCCCGTGTGTTCGGAGCAGTGTCGCGGTCGGACAAGTGCCTGGACGGCCCTTTGGTGCTGCGCCCCCGGTTCCCAGGAGGCTTCTAAGCAGCCTCTGCTCGGTGCGCTGCGCGGAAACCGTTTTCTGCTCTCGGGACTCGGTGCTCGCGTGCAGCGTCCGTGGAGCGGGGAGCTTGCAGGCTGCTCTGCGTCCCGTTGTCCCGGCGTGGCCAGGTCTGTCTGGCCGGGGCTGCTGTGTGAAGCCAGGCAGGATGCAGCTGGCTCTGCCCTGCGCCATTCGCAGCCAGTGCATTGGGGCTGTCACGGGGAATCATTTAGTGAAGGGTTTGCAAAGTGCCCCTGGCTTGCAGGCATGTCCCCTGGGGGCGCCCAGCCACGCCGCTGGCTGTCTGCTAAGGAAGCGATGGGGTCAGATGGATGCGAGCGGGGTGGTCGTAGGCGGCGGTGGACTGCGGAGTTTGCAGTGCTGGCGCTCATGGGCCGGGAGAGCCCAGTGACACGGCCAGGTAGGCCGTGCCCTGCGGACCGCCGTCAGACGAGGACACGCTGCCCCCAAACGGTGCCATGGGGCAGGGCCCATCCCAGTAGCAGATGGTCCATCCGAGAAGAAACTCCTTCCCCTCCCAGAAAGGGGAATTGTCCCTCCAGGTGTACACCGGCCGACGGCCCAGCCTGCGGAGGGGCGATTCCTGGCCCAGTGACGGGGCGGAGGGTTGCTTGTCTCAGACACGTAGGGGCTGGAGATGTGTTCGAACGACCGTGTATTCCCAGACACGGAGAATTGCAAAGGGAGGGTTTCCAAGGGCAGACGCAGCTCTGCGTTTTAGTCCCGACACTTGCCAAAGTGCAGGTGGTCTTTCGAAGCTCCGAGACTGTATTGCTCGTCCTCCTTCGACTCAGTACCGGGCTCTCCGCTCTTGTGCGTGGAGGGGAACAGGAAATTTTCCCAATTCCCTCCCAAGCCTTTTTTTCTGCCCACGTTGCCACAGGCCGGGAATTGGTCACGGCCGTGGGTAGCTTGAAGGGTCTGTTGTTGGCTGTTTTGGGACGAGCTGCATAATTTGCAAGCAGCAAGCCGATTGGTCAGTTAGGGCTTTGCATGACCGACACAGGGCTGCAGAGCACCAGCTTGGGTTGAAATCCGATCTAGCCGCACTGTGAATCCGTCTCCTTCCCCTCTGAGCACCCAGCGGAACTTTGAATCCAAGGGCAGGGCCCCGGCCAGAGAGCTCGGTGTGAATCCAGCCCACGGGTGGGGCCTCCCCTGCTCTGTTGTTTGATCTGCTGCTGCTTTCCAGGATCACATGGTGAAGGAGGAGACCAGAAGCCTCACTCCCAAGCAGTGTGCGGTGCTGGACCTGGCACTGGATACGATCAAAGTGAGTGACACCCCCCCCGGGGCCGCTGTTGGGCATGGCTCGTAGCACGGTGACTGGTCAGCAATAAGGCACCCGGCTGACTCCAGGTGGCTGAGTATGTTGCACAAACTCACTTGTGAAGAGGGGCCCAAGGAAGCCCTCTCGGGGCACTCGGATCAGGGGTGCTGCGGAGCCAGCGTGTGCAAGGGTCGGGGTTGGGGAGACACTGCAAAGCAGCCAGGGAGCTGTTGGGGGCGGATGGGGGGGACAGTCGGTCACTGCTGCAAACGATGCTTCACAAAGTGTTCAGTCCCCTCTGCCTCGCGGTGCCGGTGGCGTTTCCCTTTGACACTGTTACTCGTTACTCGCAGCAATATTTCCACGCCGGCGGGAACGGCCTGAAGAAAACCTTCTTGGAGAAGAGCCCAGAGCTGCAGTCCCTGATTCAGTCCCCTCTGCCTCGCGGTGCCGGTGGCGTTTCCCTTTGACACTGTTACTCGTTACTCGCAGCAATATTTCCACGCCGGCGGGAACGGCCTGAAGAAAACCTTCTTGGAGAAGAGCCCAGAGCTGCAGTCGCTGCGCTACGCGCTGTCCCTCTACACTCAGACCACGGACACGCTCATCAAAACCTTTGTCCAGACCCAGACGGCCCAGGGTAAGGCTGCTTCGTGCCCGGGGGCGGGGCAGCTGTAGCTCTCCAGTGGGGGGTTAATTGCCTGGGCTTGTGGTGTCTTTGGCAGTCACCCTGCTGGAAACACGAGAGCGATAGAGCTGCTGCGGGCTACGCGCTGTCCCTCTACACTCAGACCACGGACACGCTCATCAAAACCTTTGTCCAGACCCAGACGGCCCAGGGTAAGGCTGCTTCGTGCCCGGGGGCGGGGCAGCTGTAGCTCTCCAGTGGGGGGTTAATTGCCTGGGCTTGTGGTGTCTTTGGCAGTCACCCTGCTGGAAACACGAGAGCGATAGAGCTGCTGCGGGCCGGGGTTTTCTCGCTCCACGTGCGTCTCGTGGGGGAGCCGATGTAGGTGCACGTGGACTCCTGGCGGGGCTCTCGCCTGGGGTTCCTGCCACTAGCGCTGGTTTGGAGTCGTACTGGGGCGATTGCCATGTGAAGCAGCCCGCCCGTCGCTCACGGCCTGAGCAGTGGCCCAGGCGGCTCTGCTGGACCCTGGCTGGCAGCGGCGCTGCCTCGCCGTGAGAAGAATGCGGCGGAAGGTCTGGTTTCGTGCACAGCTGGCACAGGGTGTAACGTACGCTCCCTCGCCTCGCACCCATCTCCCTTGCAGGAGGCAACCACACGAGTCCTTTGCTGCACCCTTGCGATGGCCCATTGGAGGTCTCCGGTGGCTCCTGGGAAGCCAGGGTCATGCTGCCCCAGCACGAGCGTGGCTCAGGGCCGTCTGCACGGCGAGGGCCCCACAAAGCCTTTGTCGTTCTCAGGTGCTTGGCAAACCCCAGACAGCAGCTTTGCCACAGCAAGCGCTCGTGCGAGCCAGGCTCTGGGGGCACCAGGAGCCTTCTCCTGCCAGCGGAGCAAGCACCGCTCAGCGCGGACAAACAGCGTTTGCACTGCCCCGCTCGCAGCCACGTGGCACGCTGCTGAAAGCCACCTCTTGCAGACAGCCTGCCCCAGAGCTCTCCGCGGTTCAGGGGGAGCCGTCCCCAAGTTTCTGCACAGAATAGTGTCCGTCTGGAGCCAGACGCGTCCATTGACTGTCTGTGTGGTCCATTGCTCCTTGTTCTGCCATCTGCCCCCACTGAGAACAGCCTCTCTCCAGCCTCTTTGGGACCCCCTGCTGGGAGTTGCAGGCTGCTCTCAAATCCCCCCTCACTCTTCGCTTCTGCAGACTAAACAGACCCAAACCCTTCAGCCTCCCCTTGTAGGTCATGTGCTCCAGCCCCCGATCATTTTGTTTGCCCTCCGCTGGACCCTCTCCAGTGGGTCCACATCCTTCCTGTAGGGGGGAGCGGGGGCAGAACTGGACACAATACTCCAGATGTGGCCTCACCAGAGCCAAATAAAGGGGAATAATCACTTCTCTGGATCTGCTGGCAATGCTCCTCCTCATGCACCCTAAGATGCCATTAGCCTTCTTGGTATCTTCACTCATCTCCAGCTTCTCATCCACTGTAACCCCCAGGGCCTTTTCTGCAGAACTGCTGCTTAGCCAGTCGGTCCCCAGCCTGTACCAATGTTTGGGATTCTTCCCTCCCAAGGGCAGGACTCTACCCTTGTCCTTGTTGAACCTCATCAGATTTCTTTAGGACCAGTCCTCTGATCTGTCCATGTCACTCTGGACCCTAACCCTGCCCTCCAGCGTATCCACCTCTCCCCCCAGCTTAGTGTCATCTGCAAGCTTGCTGAGGGTGCAACCCATCCCCTCAGCCATGTCATTAATCAAGATATTGAACAAAAGCATCCCTAGAACTGATCCTTGGGGCACTCCGCTAGAAACCGACCCCCATCCTGACATCAAGTCACTGATCACTACCCGTTGGGCCCGACAGTCTTTCCAGCTTTCTACCCATCTTACCGTCCATCTATCCAATCCATACTCCCTTAACTTGCTGGCAAGAATATTGTGGGAGACCGTATCAATAGCTTTGCTAAAGTCAAGGTCTATCGCATCCACTGACTTCCCCACGTCCACAGAGCCAGGTACCGCATCATAGAAGCTAATCAGGTTGGTCAGGCAGGACTTGCCCTTGGTGACTCCATGTTGACTGTTCCTGGTCACTTTCCCCTCTTCCATAAATGTTGAAGTGACCTAAAGGATCCATCCTTCCCCAGGGGGAATACTGGAGAGGCCATATCTCTGCAGCGCGGGGACATCTGGTGGCCAGACAGACCAAGCACAGCTCTTCCCTACGTCCCCCTTGCACAAGGAACTCCATGTCCACCGCCGTGTTCCGGAGCCCCTCGCTTGCACCCTAGACGCGTTTCCCAGTTAGCCGTTTACTGGGAACAAAACCCTCCGGCTGTTGGAAACGAGGAGACGCAGCCCGTTGTATTAGACATCCGTACTCAGAGTAAGAGGCGGTTTTCTGGCTCTGTCAAGGCAAAGCGCTTCCCAGTCCAACCAGCTGATAGCGCCGTTCCCAGCTTGGCTTGGACGTGTTCCTGGAGGCTTCTCAAGGACGTTATCTTTCATTCCTGGACTCTCCAGGGCAGGCTCGGAGGCCTGGCAACCCTGCAAACGAGCCAAGCCCCCAAATCCCTCTGGTTTTGCATCCTGGTTGAGTTGCCCTCGCCACTGCTGCTGAGGGCGGCCACATGAAAGCAGTAGACTTAACTAGGACTTACACCCTGCACGTTATCTGCATTTTCCAGGTCATGGCTAATATGGTGCATTGTCATACCACACTCCCTTATGTGACCTGCAATCTGCTGGCACGCATGTGATGTTAATACAAGAGCAAGGGAGCGTTCAACTAAACGGAGAAGTGGCAAATTCAGAACTATTTCACCTAGTGCAGCGTTAGCCTGTGGAACTCCTTGCCACAAGATCTGTTGAGCCGAAGTGTGTAGCAAAGCGGTGGGCAGACTGTGGCCCATGGGTCACACCCAGCCCATGAGACCTTTTAAACCAGCCTTTGACCCCCCCCTCTCCTGCAGAAGCGGGGTCGGGAGCTTGCCTTGCTCCCTCCATCCCTGCAGCAGCTTCACATGTTCCTGGAAGCACCAGTTCTACAGCTCCCATTGGCCAGGAACCGTGGCCAATGGGAGATGTGGAGCCAGAACAGGGACATGCTGCTCTTTTCAGGAGTCACTTCGGGTAAGTTCCTCCCTCCCTGCAGTGGCAGGGCTCCCTCCTCCTGCCCTCTGAACCCTTCG